AAAAAAAAAAAAAGTCCGGGCGCAGTGGCTCATATCTGTAATCCCAGCACTTTGGGAGGCCGAGGAAGGCAGATCACGAGGTCAGGAGATTGAGTAAAACCCCGTCTCTAGTAAACATACAAAAAATTAGCCAGGCGTGGTGGCGGGCATCTGTAGTCCCAGCTACTTGGGAGGCTGAGGCAGGAGAATCACTTGAACTCACTTGAGGCAGAGGTTGCAGTGAGCAATTAGCCAGGCGAGGTGGCAGGCACCTGCAGTCCCAGCTGCTCAGGAGGCTGAGGCAGGAGAATGGCGCAAACCCGGGAGGCGGAGCTTGCAGTGAGCCAAGATCACGCCACTGCACTCCAGCCTGGGCGACAGAGTGAGACTCCGTCTCAAAAGAAAAACAAAACAAAAAAAATTGTATCTGTAAATATCCTAAAGTTGAGACTTGCCTGACTTTCCTACTGTTTCCTTAGCCTCAAATTACTCAAAGTTAATGAGGCGCTACATTAACAATTTTCTGGTGATTGAGGCTCTATGAATACCAAAAACAGAAATATAATCCAGAAAGCCGTATTAAAAACCCAACAGGCAAAAATATGGGGTCCACTTAGTGTTACTGAAAACACACAATCCTTACTCTATTTCTAGAGTTCCTTCATCCAACACATGTTTATCAAGCACCTCTGCTGTGTCAGGCACTGTCCCACCAGCTGGGGTGAACAAATGGGCCACGTCCCTGTTTTCATGAAACTGCATTCTAATGGAACAATTAACAACTGTCAGGTGGAAGTAAGTGTGATGCAGAAAACTGAAGGGAGGTCAGGGCATAGGGTTACTGTCAGGCTATTTTAGAAAGGCTGGTGAGGGCTGAACACTCATAACGTGACTTCTGAGCAGACTCGAATGAAAAAATGAGAACTTCACTAAATCCTATGATTCTTCAATGTTTTCAAGTTTGCATCCAAAAGACTGAAACACAGTAACTTCTTCCCTTTATTCTATAAATAGGCAAACTACCTGAACGGCTTCTAGAAAGTGGAGGTGGGGCCACGGTAGGTCAATTGTGGGGAAGAAAATGTTGAGGAATGAAATGATAAAGCCTAGTAAAGCTTTCTATTTGCAACAATGAATTTTTAATCGTCAAAACTGAAGGATCTCAAAGAATTTTAATGTGCACTTCCCCCACCCTGCTACCTTCAGAAGGAAAAGTTGTCATCATAACTGTTTTCTAAAGACAGAGATGAAAGGAACTGCTCAATTTCACAACTTGTCATTATTAGAGGGAAAAGTACTTAATGCTGAAAATATTAAGTAAGCATTGACAAGGAATATGAGATAAAGATCAGCACATCATTTTGGCTAGGAGAGAAAAAGAGCTAAAGGGAGAGAATGGTGCCTAAGCTAATTCATTCATTTTATGTGCTTCTTTATGATAAAGTTTAATAAATTTTTTTCTAAAATACTTTACCTTCCTGAAACCACCAGAGTTCCATCATCGAGTAAATAATCCTTCACATTCTGAGGAAGTGGAAGAATGACACTAAAAAAAAAAAAACAAAAAAAAACACACACACCAAAAAAGGCATCATTTTAAAAGATCAACTATAAGCAGAGAGAAAAATGTCCACCCTTTATTGATTTTGGATTTACTTATTTCAATATAATACAAATGTATTTAATATAAAGTAGAAAATGTTAATGATGTATATTTGGTAGCAGCAGACAAGGAATTAGAATAATATGATTAAATACTGCGGTTCACCTTATTGCCACAAAAACCAGCCAAATCCAAACAATCAGATGGAAATCACAGTATGAAAGCAACAAGCTCAAAAGGATTCTGAGTGAGCACAACATTTCTGTGTCTTTAAGAAATCAGAGACCAGCAGATATTTGCTGCAACACAGGAAATGCAGCAAAACAAACCAGAAGATGACTAGCGTTTGGTCACCTTCTAAAGATAGAGGGCAGAAGTAGAGTCAAGATCTGGAAACCATTTTTGGGTTGGCAATGAGCACCCACAGCTAAGAATTCATGATACTTTCGGATGTGTCTTGCTGTCATTCTATTCAGCTGATCACCAGAAATAAAGGTTGCTTAAACTGGGCATGCTTTAGCTTAATTTGTTTCAGATAATCATAATTAAGGATGGCAAAGTCATATTTGAAGTCTCTTAAAAACTTATGGGATAATTTGTTTTTTACCTTGAAATAATAAATTATCAAAAAGCCCTACCACAGATACCTAAGAGTGCTGGTATTATTTTGATCTTGAGGCATATACATTTTCAAAAAGTGGAAAAGCTTACAGCCTGCTTTCAGGAAGTTAACACAACATCAGTGACTTATGTCTCATTTATTTATGGAATAAGTTTTTTTTTGGCACATTACAAATGATTTTGTGCACAAAAAAAAGAGTATTCATGGGCTACTTCGGTTTTAAAAATAAATATTTGATTTATCAAAAGTACGATTTCACATTCAAAAATCTAGTTCTGGCCGAGCGCGGTGGCTCACACCTGTAATCCCAGCACTTTGGGAGGCCGAGGCGGGAGGATCACGAGGTCAGGAAATCAAGACCATCCTGGCTAACACGGTGAAACCCCCGTCTCTACTAAAAATACAAAAAATTAGCCGGGGGTGGTGGCGGGCGCCTGTAGTCCCAGCTACTCGGGAAGCTGTGGCAGGAGAATGGCGTGAACTCCAGAGGCGAAGTTTGTAGTGAGCCAAGATCGCTGCCACTGCAATCTAGCCTGGGCGACAGAGCAAAACTCCGTCTCAAAAAAAAAAAAAAAAAAAAAAATCTAGTTCTTCCTCAGGCTTTCAATTTCATCTAACAAATCTTATTATGTTTGAAAATCTACTAAATTTTAATCAATTTCATGTGAAATTTTGTAACTTAAAAGTCTCTTTAAAAATTTAAATTCTATTTATACACTACTCAATTTTCTTTTTTAATATATCTATTGGCTGATTGCAAACAAACCTAAGTATTTTACTCTTACAAAGCTAACAAACGAAATTGTTAAGTACAATGAATCCAAGGTTCTACTAGACATTCCAATACTATTTAAGAACCTGAAACTTTTCTTATACATTTTAACTGACCATTCTGAGCCTATTACACATTTTCAAGTACATACCCAATCTTTATTGAATGAAACCATTATATAATGAATCAGCAATTACTGAAATGTTGGCTCAAAAAAATCAGTAAGTGCAAACTCCAGATTTTCTATAAACACCTTTAAAAAAACTGAGAGACGAAATTGTATATATTAATACTTGCCGCCTACCTAATGCTTTGAAGTATTTATACATTGTGGAATGGTTAAATGTAGCTAACTAACAAATGCATTACCTAACAGAGTTATTTTTGTGATGAGAACACTAACATCCACTCTCCGTTTTTCACGAATACTATACGTATATCGTCATTATAGTCTCTATGCTATACAACAGATCTATGTACTTGTTCTCGTATCTAACTGTAATTACGTATCCTTTCACCTTCCCAATCTCCAACCTCTGGGGAGGTGGTGAAAAGCAATTAAGCCACCGGGTGGCCTTGGGCAGTGATCATCTTGAGCCTGGGGCCATTCTAAAAGTAGTGGTGGTGAACTCCCAAGCCTAAACTACGTTAATCCACTACTTCTCCCGCCTCCGACCCTCACTGAAACCACAACTGACCCTCCTAGCCAGCACACTCGCTGGCTTGCAACAGGACGCAGACAACTGCTTACCTACTTCCCTCTCGACACACTCCCTCCCATGCAGTCGCTAGAAGGCCTGCATTTTTTGGGATGGCAGTAAGATTCGCTCACAAGTCGCAGTTCCCTTTGGCCGGTAGGCCGGGCGAACCCCCTCCCATCTCACCTCTTGATGGTAACGCCTCGGAAGAGCGGGTACCACGCGGAGAACTGGCAGTGCAGCACATGCTCCTTCTTCATTCTCCAGCTGCCGCCGCCGCTGCCTTTCCCTCTCCTGCTTGCACCCTCCCGGAACCCTGGGCTCCGGCCCCGGAAGTGCCCACCGAGCTATTTTGGTTCAAGGACTCTTCCGGTCCCTAAAGCAAGAAGGAACACCGAGAAAGGGAAGCGGAGAAGGACAATCCCGGGGCATACGCTTGACACACACGCACACAAAAAGAGCTTTAGTCTCGAAAGAGGAATTACTGAAATGTTGAGAGAGGAATTTTAAGAAGTTTACAACTCCGTCTTTGCCCTAGACACACACTGACCCGGAAAGTAATCACCTGGAGCTAGGTCAAAGGCAGGGGTTCTACGGATGCCGGGAGGAGGGCGCGCGCCCATCCTGTTAGCACCGCGAGAGGCGCCGGTGTCTGGAATCGTGGCACCGGCATCGGCTGACACTGCTGCCTCCAGCTAGTTATTTCGTCCTCTTCCGTTCTTCACCCCTACATCTTGGAGTAAGTAACCGGGGCAGGCCAGTCACAGCACAAAATCTCCTTGGGGAGGAGAAGTAAAAAGGGAGAGGGAGCACATCTGCATGGTGCGTGCAGCCGCGCGGTGTCTCCCAGGCTGCGGCTGGGCACGCGTCCAGGCGCCCAAGAGGGAAACTGGGGATTGGAGCGGAGGAGCCTGGGCTACTCCGAGTAAAGAAAGCGAGGAACACCACAGCTAAGTGTTGCTTCCAGTGTAAAGGTTGCAGCATCTGCAGAGGAGTAGAATGCTTGGCAGAGGGAATATCGCCTGTACGATCCTGAGGGGTTCGACTTTGGGAGGGAAAAGGCGAGAGGTAAATTTGAGAAAGCGGAGGAAAAAGGAGACTTGTCTCCTTTGAGCGTTGTATTCGTTTAGTCTCGCCTCGCAAAAGTTATCAAGCTGGAAAAAACGCAGATTTTTAATCAGTATTCCTGCAGTGATCGAATCATAAGACTGGAAGAATTCGAATCGAACTTGTACTATCCTTCTTTTTTCCTTTGCTTCACTCCTGTCACCCAGCAAAGTTCAGTTTTGTTTGTTTCGTTAAAGAGAATGAGAAGTAACCAGCTGCTTTTATTTATTTATTTGAGACGGAGTCTCACTGTGTGCCCAGGCTGGAGTGTAGTGGCGCAATCTCGGCTCACTGCAGCCTCCGCCTCCCGGGGTCAAGTGATTCTCCTGCCTTAGCCTCTCGAGTAGCTGAGAGCGCGCGCGCCTCCACGCCGGCTGATTTTTGTATTTTTGGTAGAGACGGGGCTTCGCCATATTTGCCAGGCTGGTCTCGAACTCCTGACCTTAGGTGATCTGCCCGCCTTAGCCTCCCAAAGTGCTGGGCTTACAGGCGTGAGCCACCGCGTCCGGCCTACCAGCCAGCCGCTTTTAACCCCTAGTCGTGTGGCTTACCCTACGAGCATTTGGCTTGCGCGAGGCATCTATGTCTAAAGATATCTCCTTAAATGTACATTCTTCCTGGTCCACCTAAGTAGTTTTAAATTAAAAACAGCCCCACGGACCGCAGGCCTCTTCAGAAGGGTATTCCTTAGAATAATAAACAGGATTCTCTGCGTATTTTGAGTTAGAAACTCTTCCCCCCAGGAATATATACATTGTTTTAGGTTTTGTTTTGTTTTTCTCAAAAATGTTACTGGCTAAGTGGCTAGTTGGAAGCAGTGCTTTAAAGAATAACATTTTCAAAGCAGAGGTAAATAGATTATAATATTGCAAGGTATGTTGGTGGGGGTTGGACAGTAATGGTTCATTTATGCCTTGATCTGGAATTATGCAGTCCTTTCTGTTTTGAGGGAGAGAAGCAATATTGTATATATGTCTGGAGGGTGGTGGTAGAAAGACTTAATGGCAGGCAGGAGCGGTCGCTCAAATAATTG